AACAAAAAAGTATTATTCAACTTACAGTAGAGTGCCGCCAAAATTTTATCAAATCATGTATATCTGAGGATGGCGCTAAAAGCAAAAAATCACGCCATTCATTAAAGCTTATATTTAAGCTACCGTCTGTATCCATTCTTTAAAGAGAAAATTATTCAATTAATCCCCTGTTGTCTTAATTAAATAAACAAACATCATGCAAGTCAGTTAATAACATGAATTCTTTTCAAATATATAATATTGCACATATGATATATATAATCTTTCAGAAAATACCCTCTCTCTCTCTCTCCATTCAGAAATCCTGTCTAACAAAGCTGATTTTTTTTTTTTTGACCTGGTGACACAGTTTGTTTGCATCGCGTATAAATTGGTAGTTGTCTTGGTATTCCCCTTTCAATTTTTACTATGAGTGAAAAAGTAAGCAAAGGATTAAGTTGTAATTCAATGGAAACGGACGAAAAACCTAGGAATATTATATCCTGTTATAAATACAAATAAGGCATTTCTTCGGAGTGTCATTAATGTCCAAAGAAAACATCCAGAAAATTCGAGACAATAGTTTGCAAAAAATCATTTTCATTTAAGAGCTTAGCATAACATAAACATTTTTTGAAGTCAGTAAACGTCGAAAATTGTGTTCACATCATGTCGACTACCTAAACAGACCGAAATGACAAATTGCTTTAAAGCGAAGTCGGCAAGGTATAGCATTTCGTGAACTTCTACAACGAGGTAAAGCTCTTATTAACAAGTTTTTACTTCAAACATTTTTTATGGGAAAATTATTAAAGTTTCAGCTAAGAAAAGAAAAAAAACTTTAACGTCTCTTAAACCCCGTTGGAATAAAAAAACCACTCCTTTTATTAATCCAAGTTTATTTCTTTAGATTACAACTTCTTCCGAACAATGAGACATTTCTTACGCAGAAGGAGACATTGAAAAATTCGATCTCTGTGTCAAAATAAAAGACATTCTTTCGAAATATACAGTTATTATCCGAGAGAAAGACGATTTGTTAAGTGTATACTTTGTGCTTACTTTAAAAAGAAAATCTGCATTATTAACTGAAATGCCTATATAAAAGTATAGATATAACTGAATACCTAGACAATAAATGTTTTGCCTCATCGGTGTCAACTTCAAGACCCAAATCTTCAAAAGCCGATATCAACTCTTCCAAATCGACTTTGCCTAAAATAAAAATATAATAGAAATTGTGATTTAAAGAATACCAAAGGACCACTAAGGTGTTTTTTATAATTGTACTTACCATCTCGATTTTTGTCCAAATGAGAAAATTGTAAACGTAAATTTTTCTCATGCTCTCGTATATAATGTACAAATTCAGCGAGTCCCACATCACCACTTTGTGTTTTGTCCGAATGTTCCAAAAATTTCTAGAGGTACCCAAAATTTAAATATCTATTACTACATGAGTATCAAAAATTTATATTCATTCGTTATTGTTTCACTTTTTGTTAACAAATTTGTAATATTTATGTTTGTTTCACTTGTCCAGTTTTTATATGAAATAAACTGTTCAATATACTAATCGTAGTAACTTCTCTAATCATTGGGGCTATTGAGCTTAACACGCATGCATATAAATTCGTTTCTCGTGTTTAATTTCACCGTAACATTCTGTTATCCCGCGTGTGAGTAGAGCCGCTGTAAGATTAAAGATGCTTGCACTAAAAAGTTCAAAAGAATATACTCCTTGTTTTTTATGCTCGCTATAAAAATATTTTTTATAAACTCTTCTTTTGTATAAAAAGTAGAATTGACTTAGTAGTAAGCAAATTTGCAATGCTTTCGCATTGTTAAGGCATCGAAATTTCGAGACTTTATTTAATAACTTTTTTACTTGAAAAATTAGATTGTTTAAAATTGATTTTTGAGTCTAAACTAAGGAAAGATTTCGATTTATATCTTTGCTTTATAAATCTTTCAAAGAGCAAACTGTGTGTCGGATAAGCAGACACTAGTAAATCGATTCAATATCCTACGATGAAAGGCAGTGCTTGCGGAAGGTAATAATGTAGAATTTGTAAACAAAACCTTTGATATCCTAAAAATCAGTTTAATGGTATAAACTTAAGCTCGAAAGAAATCGGATAAATACAAAAAATCACAAAGAGCAATTGACTCAGAATTGGAATTGTGACGTTGAAATTAAGAGATTTAACAGTGGAACAACCCAAACAAACTGAAAGACAGGAATGTAAAGGCAACTGGCAGGCAAGCTGCAGCACCAGGACCAACTAGAAAGAGGGCAAGGATGCTATTGTATATAAGCTTTATTCCAATTTCCTCAAAATCTATCAGACGGGCGAGATTATAAAAGAAGAGAATAAAATGGGAGGCACGTCCGCGTGTTGCAGATATGATAGGACGGATTCAGCTAACCTATTTTACCATACAATAAATAGGAGAGCAAGACGAACAGCAAACAGCGGCAAAAATCAGTCAACAACAGTAATTAATGGCACCGAATGATAGCGCACAAAAGAAAGTATAGCAAAAGGTGGCAGAGATGGCATCAAAATTTAATGAAAATAGTTAATCGTGGCGACGACCGACGAAAAGCTTCAAGAAATGCAAAAGATTTTCACGACCAAATATTTGTGCAGTTTGTAGCCAAAGTGAAAGCTGTTGTCGGGAAAGTTAATAAAGTAGTGAATCGATTTGATGCCAAGGTGAAGCGATTAGCAGAAAAAAATTGTGTAACGTCAAGCCGGCTCCTAAAAAGTGAAATAGATGCATTAAAGCGAACAGTGGCTAAACTACAACTTAATGTTATAGAGGATGAGCACATCCAAAAACAAAGGTGCGTCCACCGAAGAATATCCCGAGGTGCAGATTAGAAACAAGAAGAGATCAGATATAATCGCTCGCAGATACTATAATTCCAACAAAGTTGATCGCTTGTTTCATGAATATAAATTACGACAGAAGGGTTTACGTCGATAACAAGCTCAGGGTAATAATAGCTACTAAAATGGGTGAAAGTCGTGCCAGAGAACAAATCGATCAGGAAAGCCCCGTAGCAAAAGCGTTATGGGCTCAGTAGGGAAGCCTTATTTTCGAAGATGGATGTCTATGGCGGATATGGTATATGCGAAAACGATTAAAGTTGTAGGTGGTCCCAACAGCAAAGTTTGAAGAAATCGTACAAAAGCACCATAAAGGGCCACACAGGGAGCCCTTCAGCTTCGCGAAAACTGTTAAATCGATTAAACGGAAATTATTCTGGGTAGGATACCGCAAATCAGTAGCATCATGAATTCATAGCTGCCAGCAATGTACTAAAACAAACGGAGGAAGGTATAAATTGAAAGGCCATATGTTACGAAACGTTTTAAAAAAGAAGCTAGATCGCAAGTAACAGTTTCAGCTAAGATCGAAGGACGAGCTTAGGATGCTTTGTTGCTATTACAGTTGTATAACCCATCGTCCACTGGCAGGTTATCATCAAATTTTCAATCTAACTTGGAAGGATCGTACAAAGGTATCGCGAGGATAGCTTAGAGAGTCTTGTGGATCCGGAAACATCCAGACTAGAAACAGACTAGTAGCTTTTGAAAATAGCCTTGTTCGTAAAACGGCAAAATGGGACCAATCTATATATGTTCATGTACATGAATAATTTTATTTACATCCAAAGTGACATAGAATGGAGTAGAAAGCCGTCCGGACATTAAAAAGACGTATAGCAACTTATGCGTTCCTAATTTTAAGGTATTCGTTTTTTCAGATTCTAAAAAATCTTTGAACTGTCCACTTTTTTTCTGCTTTAAGTTACTCACATTAAATGAATTTCTAGTTACTCACGATTTTTTTTTCTTTCGTTGCTAAGAAAAGATTTTCAACAATTTTTTCAATGAAATCATTATTCTTGGAAAATCATCCTACAAAAACTAAGAATTCAGCTGGAATTGAATAGCTTATGTAAGGAAGTCATAAAAAGTGCTATAGTAATAACAAGAAATATAAGAAAATTATATACAACGAGTAAACGACCAACGAAAACATATATATTTAAAAAGAAGCAATAAATATTGAATTGAGCGCTTGGTACAAACAAACCAAAAACAATTTTATGACTTCTATGCTTTCATTTTACGGAGTTGATTTGACAACTGAGGCATTCGTATATAAATAACTACAAAATAACTATACTCGCTTTGTGGCGAACTTATTCAGGTCCGATACATTTCACACATTGTATATCGAAAAATTGCAAAACTATAGACTACTCGACCCATTTGAAAATTTTTGTAGCTTTTTCAGATATGTTAAACTATTTATTTTTCATTTTTGAAATGCATGCGTATTGGCGGGTATTTTAAACCATCTATTTTACTTTACTGTCACTACATAAAGTCCATAAACATCCGTCAGGCGGACAGCCGTGTATGTCATTGATGGGTAAACTGGGGTTTTTGCACTAATCAAAAATATATATTTCATGGTCCATTCGCATTGGAACGAATCTTCAACGTTCATCAGTTCTCTTGCCTACTTCTACAGCACGAAGAATTCAATAAAACCGCAGTATATGATGGTAATAACAGACAACATACCAATTGCCAATGTGTGAGGAATCATAGATATCTGTGTGGATATCTGTGTGTAAGGAGTCAAAGAACCAACCGTAAAATACGCACATCTCTGATATTGTTGAGGTATAAACAAATTTCAGAGGTTTAAAAAAATTTCAACAAGAGGATGTAAGCCCATGCTAATGTACGTAGGTAGAGAAACTTGTGCATTAATTGGCAAAATATATTCGAACAAAAATAAGGTATACATGGTCGTTGGCTATATATCTACCTTCTATCCAGCATAAGTATTATATATATATATTACGATAGACGTACCTCAGCATAAACGCTTGATAGACCAAATTCTCGTAATGCTTCCGATAAATCATGTATATCGATACGACCGTTGCCATCCCGGTCCAACTGTTTAAACAACTTCTCAAGGCGTTCTTCATCTTCTTGTGGCAATTCAGTGGGCAACTGTGCATGTGTGGTGGCACTGACTAACAATTTTTGTGCCTTTGAAGAGGGTACGTGAAGTTGCGTGGAGTTCAGTGCTTTGTCGCTACCTGTCTGTAAAGGTAAACTTTTAGCTGTGCTTTGATTGAAATTATGATTATGGTTATGATGATGGTGATGATGGTGTCGCGACGTATGCGTTTGATGGTTATGCGCATCGGCTGCTGTTGTTAGCACACTTTGTATGGGTATCAATTTATGATGATTGGCAGCAGCATTTCTAGCATAATTAACTGAGGACGCTTTTACTGCTGAAGACAATGAAGACGACGATATTGATGTTGAGGATGATGAAGATGTTGATTGTTTAGTATCGTTACAAGCATTTGATGTTGTATTTACTGATTTTATGGATGATGCAGTTGACGTTGCGCTTATTGCTGTTGTACTTCTCCCAGAACCTACTATTGGTACGTTTCCAATTTCACCCAAATCAGTCCTCGAGGTCTTCTTTAACGGTTCTAAATCACTAACGTTTGTTGTTGCACTATTTTTGTTGCTGCAATCTTGCGTATTAACCATTCTAAATTGTTATTATTGCGGTTTTTTATTACTTTTGTTTTTGCTGACTTTGTCGTTGCTATTGTTGTCGTTAATATTTTTATATAATTCTTTATATTATCAAAATAAATACTTATTTCACTTGTATTTTTATTTAGTTTAAGTTTAACTCTGCGTCTTTGGTTTATTGCTATTGGCACCTGCGCTTATGACCTCATTTTGTTTACGTTATATTGTTTCATTTATTTGAAAAATTTAATTTTAAAAAAGTCGAAAGCGTTATTCGACTTCTTTTCAAGATTTTCGATCACAATCGAACTGTATTCGTTTTTCTCTACGTATATTTTATTCACCTTCTGCTGAAATAATGGATCCGATTGCTTGATCGACATAAGCTGAAAAATCAAAATATTGCAAAAAAAAATTATATTAAAATAAGTATACTGTCAAACAGTAGAATGTGTAAATTTTTAAAGTTATGCAAGAGTACACCTGTTAATGTTAAAATATTCGGCCCACCATATGAATCCTTCTGACAAAATTCATAAGTGTGGCTTGTACGATAAATAAAAACCAATTGTAGTCTTTCTTTCATTTTTGTTTTTATAAGCTACCACATGCGGTACAAGATTATACGAAGTTTTTGTGGTAGGTAGACTTACCTTTTGTTATACCGATCGATTTAAAATCACCTTTTAAGTGAATTTAAGCTTGTCTGCTTGGCTGTCGGCCTGTATTTCTGTTCAGCCCGCAGGTCGCCATTTATGAGATATATCGATTAAATTTGTTACACCGATGTATTTTGGGCCGAGTGCGAACGCTATTGAAAATAGTTCAGATTAGACTACTTTTTCGACCCCTTTCTATATAAGGACTTATTTTCAAGGCTTTATATGAGTAACTTTATTAAGCAAAGGGTAGGACATTAAGTAGTGGGCCGTGACCCACTATAATGCTTCTACTAGTTTTAAAGCAATTTCATTACCAAAATGAAAAATGCAACATAGGGTAAGCAAGCAATGGGGTGATGTAAGTTTTCGGGGACGATAGTAGCCAAGGTAAGCTTAACGCAAAATAATTATCAGTAGTCGTAAATTATAATTAACTTCAGATTTATGCATAAATTAAGCATTGAATTCCACCGTAAGCGTAGCATTGGATAGCTAACTACAGCACAATACCACTCCTTAAAACTATGTCACAACTACGCTCTACAGCGCAGTTGCGCAATAAAGCAGAATGGAATTTAATGTAAATCAAGATTATTGGAAACTTCTAACAAGCATTAATAAGCAAATTTTCACATTTTATATAATTACCAGAAGAATCGTACTAACAAATTATCAGTACTCCAAATCTTTGATGTTGCAGGTTATTCCTTTGTGCACCCATACACTTTAAAATTAATAGGTAGGGTAAGCATTTTCGTGAAACCTTTAATTCGAAACAAATGCTCCGTAAAAAATCCCATTATAGTTGTAGATAATGGTTAGCAAAGACTCTAAGCTAACAAATAACCATCGCTAATGTCTATAAAAGCAAGTGAGCTAATTCAACAGAAACAAAATTGGAACCTGAATGTGGAAGTCATTCTTAGCACACAAGGTTGGATGTACTTATTATAGGTAGATTCTAGGTGCATATTTGAATTCGCATAACATGACTTAGGTAGATTCTTTACGCAACGACACAAGCATCCAAATCATTTCCCACCGACTTTTATTACATATATGCATACATATATATATATATATATAATTTTCTAGTGTATACGTATAACGTCGAATTTTCTCGTCGTACTCACCTAAAAAAAGAGCCTTTTTCAGCGTTTATATTGCATTAACAAGAATTTTATGTATAGTTTAACACAATCGAATCTCAAGTTTCACAAATTTCTCTTTTTTATATACAACTGTATAAGTGTATGTAATCTTATTGGCTTTCTTTTTCTTTCTTTTTTTTTTTTGCCAAATTGGCAAAATTTCTTGTTGCACCTTTTTTCTAAACTGTATCTTCCGTATTTACACTTACTGTTTAAAATTGCTACCCAAGATACAGATTCAATGTGCCTTTAAAAAGAAACCATCTGACTCTTTGATTACAAGTTTTTGGGGAAATTTGTCCTTTTTTTCTTCTCAGAAATGGCTAAAATTTCTAGTTTTATTTTCTCGCAACACATAGAAAGCAACGATAATCTTCCCACTTCACTAACAGACCAAACTTCATTTGACAATAAGTATCGCCGAAATTTGTAGAGTACCCTTATATTTATGATTTGTGATAATGTTTAACGGTATAGGAATATGGCGATAATTTGACAGCATGTGTAGATTTATTACAAATGTGAAATTAACAAGAAGTTTGACGAAGAAATTCACGCAAATTAAATTTTATATAGAAAACGTACGTTCAAAAGATAAATTAACACCAACAATTGTGATGAACAGTTTTATTTCAACAACAATCTGTATTTTATAAATTTATTTATTGTAGTTTTTTACTTAAACGACGTTTAAATAAAATTATTAAAAACAGAAAAATATCTTCCCACGACATTTATTTACAGAATTGTGGAACAGGTATTGAGATAACTGTCCATCCTTTTCAATATTTGAATCTGTCAAAGAAAACAGGCAGAAAGCCTATGCGTATTTTAGGTATTCAAATTAGAATTGAATGCGTTGAAAGCGATGAGTGTACGCACACAGGACTTTTCAAGTATTACAGACTTGCAAACATTTTTCGACTTTTTACTAAGAATTTGCTAGGCGTACGGTTTTTTTTTTTTTTAAAAAGAAATAAAAAATTGCATTAATTAAAGAGTCGTTTTGAAATTTTGAAACAATTCATAATAACAACTAATGGTTTGTAAGTGTCATAATATTAAACCCCATTTTAAAGCTAACAAAAATACTGTAAGTCAAAATGTTATTCGTTTTAACATTAATTTTATTATCATTAATTTTTTTTATATTATTTTTATTTCGCAGACTACATATGGTCTGTGTACATTTGCGTTGACTTTGCGGCGTATATATGCATTGTATAGCAAAACGATAATAGTGGTTTTTATCGCACATTGTATAGAATTCGACTGAAGAATTAAACAGGAGCAATCCAAAACGGATTTAGCACTTCTATCTTCACATGTTTCTATTTAGGATTGACATGATTGGCGTTATCGGTAAAACAAAAATTTGGCATCATTCATACAGTTAAGCGAAATTACAGCAATTCAGTAGAAAATGAATTCAGCTGCAACAAAAACACGAAGAATGTATATATGAAACCGATTTTAATAATATGCTTAATATTTTAACACCATTTGACTATAAAATGGCCACTTGCATCTTCGTTAGAGTTGATATTAAAGCTTGCTAAATACATACATTAAATTATTAACATTATGAACTTATGAAATATTATTGAAATTTTCTTAAATTTTCGAAAAAAAATAATTTCCAAAGAAATTTTTCGCTTCGCTCATGTTCATGTAAGCAACATCATAAGTCAATTTTTAAATGGTATAATTTTGCTGCAATAATGCAATGCACAACGTGTGTTTTCAACTTGCTTATTATATTATATAGCTGTACCAATACACTGTGCAAACGCAGACATTGTGTTTGACACTTAAGGCACAAGCGAGGCTGATGGGCTGAAGCGGGACACAACGTTTGCATTACGCATTGTGCGTTGCGCAAGAGCTGTCAAAAAAAAGTTATTGTGTGTATTTATGCAGTTCAACATATACCTTGCATATATACCATTGAATTTTGTATTAACGAAAATTTTGGCAAGTTTTAAAATTTAAGTTTACGTCGCTTTTGACAGCGAAAACAGCAACGTATTTAAAAAAACAAAACAAAATCATATGGTCTTATACTGTAAAATGTTTATTTGCATTTTTATTGTTGCTGTAAAAAACAAAGAGAAAGAAGAAACATTTAGGTAAAATTAAAATAGCTATTTACATTTTTATTATTTGAATATCAGCAAAAGGAAGGATAATAATAATAAAAATCAATGTTTGTAAAAGTAGACGTTAATTAGTTTAAAAAAAACAACGGAAGAGCAATAAATGAACGCAGTAGGTAAAGTGGGCAAAAGCCCGGGGGCTATATTGACTGCTTTATCAGGATTACTACAGTAAGAAAGTTTCATACATCATCGCCTCTCTTGAAAGTTTTTTATGAATACAAGCAAATAAAACAAAAAGAAAACAACGTAACAAAAAACAATTTGTTTTAAATTTAGAAGTTATTTAGCTAATTTATGTTTATTTTGTATTAATTTAGTACTACTAATTTAATATTAGTTTATTTTGAATTAATTTAGGATTTCTTTATGTTATTCAATTTGAAATTTTAGTTCGTACTCGATATTATTTTATAAGGAATGATAACCACGAAGCAAAGCCGATTTTTCCAAATCTTACTGTATTTGTCAAATCTAAAGACTTTAAAAATTTCTTAAGTTTTGACTTTAAACCATGTGTTTTTGTTTGTGTTATTGTGTAAAATATTATTATTATTATTATTAATTTCGCCACAGAAATAAATTCTAAGACTAAACTCTTAAAAGCACTAGTATCTAAGGCTATCGGCTTTTATTAAAAACTCTACCGCACTTGAGATTCGAACCCACGACCATTGACTTGCTAATCGAGATTCCTCCCCTTCGGCTACTCAGGCGGATAGTGTGTAAAATAACATGGTATCGTGGCTTCGCGAAAATAGAAATAACGCAACATTGTATTCGCTGTTATGCACAAAACGTACAACAAAAAGGTTGCGTTGTAGGTTGTGTGTTTAATGTAAATGTAAATATTTCATAAAATAGGGGATCGATTTATAGAAATGTTTACATATATTGTATTATATAAAAAGGCCGTAAATTTGTAAAATTTATTAATTAAAGTCTTCCCCAGGGGGCTAACACAATGAGTTGTCATTTTCGTTTCAGGGTTAAAAGCTAACATAATGAATTACCACGCTACCATATAGCTTTACAAGAAAATGCAAGCAGAAACATATGGTTTTAGAGTCAAAATAAAGAAATCAATGTATATGTAAACAAGAAATTTATAAAAAAAAATAATGAGGTTAATATAAAAATAAACAAGTTTATGTAATGATTAAGTGATCGCAGATATATATATTAAAAATATTTTAGATAATTTCGAAAAAAAACTATTTGATAAATATATATTTCAACTTTAAACTAAATGGTCTTTATTGCGTGTTCATTATATCTTAAAAAAAATAATGCGTGGTATATACTCAAATTTCAAATCACACAATATAAAAAAAATGTGGAGGAGTATAAAATAAACATATTAGAAATAAATTGCCTTCTGCGTTGTTTTCTTTGTTTTGTTTCCATGGATACGTGTAAAACCATATGATTTGTGAATTCCCACAAAGTATTGTTAAAATCAGCAAAGTTTCAAAACCCTGCCCGAAAATAGGAATAATGCCTCATTGTTTCGCTCCCTTTTATCTCAATGGAGCTATGCGTAAAACGCGTTTTGTACTTTCGAAAAGTTTACATTACCGAAGTGTAGAACAAAGAAAATTAGCGCAAGAGCAAATATTAAGAAAATTAATAAATTCGCTAGGAGTCTGTAAACTTATGAAAATTCATTGAACGCAAAAATTATTTCAAAAAAATTCAAAAAATAAAGTAGTGTATATATCGCCTAGAAAGTAACCAAACTGAATTTTTACAAGCCAATAGACATGGCTCAAAATATTAGTCCCGAACATGGCGGCGGCATATCCGGATCGACAGGAATTAAGCACAACGATGATTCTGTAACTATTAAAGATAATCACGCTGTGAGTAAAAGGTAATTATGAAAGAAAGTAGGACGGAGCTCTAATTCAAATGATAACATTTTTGGTTGTCTTTCATTTAAAGGCTGCAAAAAGAGCTTATGTCTCTAATGATGACAACTGAAAAGGGCATTTCGGCATTTCCCGACGGCGAGAATATATTTAAATGGATCGGTACTATAACAGGACCTATTAATACGGTCTATACCCAGCAAAAATATCGCTTATCTTTGGAATTTCCAAATTCTTATCCTTACGCTCCACCCGTAGTAAAATTCCTAACGCCCTGTTTCCACCCCAACATTGATCTTCAAGGCTCTATATGTTTGGATATACTAAAAGATAAATGGTCGGCTCTATACGACGTGCGCACAATACTTTTATCGATACAGTCTTTGCTGGGTGAACCGAATATTGACAGTCCCTTGAATGCAAATGCGGCTATGATGTGGGTTGATCAGACAGAGTACAAAAGGTATCTCGATGCCTTTTATGAAAAACATAGAGACACATAAATGAAAGAACGCCACCAACTTTAACATCACAAACATTAAGGAATTATTTATGTGAAAACGTTTTATTTAGAATGGACTCCAATTCGTTGGTGGTCGCTCACATCTTGCATATAGTGGATTTTCAATTTTTTCCATCCTAATTTTCGGCATATCTTTTGTTTTTCAAAATAGCTTGAGAAATAAATAATTTGAAAAAACATTTTGCAGCTGGGGGTTTTTAAGAAGAAATAGTGTTCAAATATTATGTAGTGAAGTTGCAAGAAAACTACCATTGCGATATACAACTCTTTGTTAGAATCTTCGTATTCGTATATAAAAATTTTAACGCTGAATAAATAAAAGGTAGTATTATTCTTAAAATAAAAATATCCAAAGCATTGATTTAATTCTGAAGCTGACCATATTACTATGCCATAGATCACATTGCAAGCAAGTAGATGTGCCTTCGTTTACGCGCCCATCGTTTCAGCTTTCTTTCTCGATGGCAACAAGTTTCGAATCATCTTTTGCTACGTAATCTTATAATATCCTTGTTAATTTTAAATTAATCGTCAGCATCGATTTGCAAAAAGATCATCTGGATGTGGAGTAGCCAATAATCGCCGTACAGAGAGTAACATTGATTCCAAAAAAAATTATACTTCGCTATAATACACATAGATTAATGTTCAACATTCTAATGCTTTTATAAAATAATAGTGGCTGAGAAATGTGTGTAGTATAAGATAACTTCTTCTTCTCCTATTCAGTGTAAAAGAGGACCAACGTGAAGGCAAAGGTCTTTGCGTATAACATATAACAATTATACAATAACACTATTCTTCTTTCATTCAGCAAATCAACATTAGAAAATTTCCTGAAATGTGTTAAAAAGGCCTAATGTAAACACAGAATCGTTTATTTTATTAATTCTTGCTATTTCGTAATTGAAACTAACTCATTAATGTTCTGTTGATTTCGCGTTTTATACGTCCGCAACGTTATTTTTTTAAATTTTATTAAAAAAGGCATATCAGCTAACCCGCCACGTAGGATAGAACAGCGAGCGGTAAATTTTGTAGTGTAAGTAGTACATGAGTATAAAATGTGACATGCAAGAACTGATAAGTGTGGTACTAAAAAGAGTGTAAAAGGGAGCAAGTCCATAATTTAGCTGTAAATACTTATATTTTTGCGAAGTAAACTTTTAAATTGGGATAATATGGAATGTTAAGAATGCTGCAGTCATGAATTTATTTATTTATTTTATTCCACTTATACTAGAAACTCAACTAAACAAATAGCAGTCGAGTTCAATAGGCTCTTAATGCAAAACTAATATTAATTAACAATAAAATTGAGTATAAGCATAATAAAACAAATAAGAAGAAAAAAAAAAAGAAAAAAGAAAAAAAAGCATGTACACTATCAGCATAGGAGCACACTTACAACCGGTACAGGACCAAATTGCAAATGAACCCCTAAGCCATCGCAAACATGCATAAGCCTGGCAACCGATAATAAATTGATAATAATTCACTTTCGAAACGTAACGACTTTTTAAGGATAAAAGCTAGTTTAAATACGACATAGGTAAATCGCGCGTATTAAGCAATGTTGCTTTAATGGACTTTAAAGAGTCCGATAACGAGAATAAGTGGTAAACATCATTTAGGTTCTTGCAAACGACTCTGAGCGGATTGAACAGCTCATAATTAAATTTGCATTGACTAAGCTTAACCAAGATAAAGTGCGTAGAGAAGCGCTTAGAGACATTAAAGCGTATTTCACCAAGTAATAAAGGCGAGTCAATTGCACCATTTATTACTTTGATTACGAAGGAAACGCCAAGAACAAACCTACGTTTCTCAAGAGACGGTAAGGACAGTAGAAGCAACCAATTTTCATAGGGAGGAAGAGAGGCAATCGGATCCCAACCCAAATTTCTAAGGGCAAACAGCAAGAATTGCTTTTGAACAGATTCAATTGAATCTACGTAGCACCTATATGAAGGAGACCACACAACTGAGGCATACTCGAGTATGGGTCTAACCAAACACATGTACAGCCTTTTCGTAATGTAGGGATCATCAAGCTCTTTGGACCACCTTTTTATAAAACCAAGCGCGGACGTAGCTTTGCTAATCGAAAGCTCAATATGCAAGTTAAAACGTAACCTATGGTCAAATAGAACGCCTAAATCTGTAATCGAATCGACGTCCTCCAACTTATGCGCATCAATAAAATACTGAGTAATGAATGACTTTCTTCTTGAGAATGAAAGCTTCTTACATTTACTCAGATTTAGTTTGAGGAGATTCAAAGAGCACCATGCAACAAAATTATCCAAATCACCTTGAAGCTGATGTGATTGCGATTGAACAGAGAAGGAAGAAAACAGTTTCACATTATCAGCATACATTAAGATCTGGCTGGAATTAACCACCGATGGGAGATCGTTAATGTATAAACTAAATAAAATGGGACCTAAGTGACTTCCTTGAGGTACGCCAGACGTAACGGGGAATTCATCCGAGCTAATGGAGTTAAACAAAATTCTGAAGGATCTATTGTGCAGATAAGAGCTTATCCATTTCACTAAGTAGGGTGGGAAACCAGAGGCTTGGAGTTTAAAGATAAGTAGTCTATGGTTAACCATATCAAATGCTTTGCTTAAATCAGTGTAAATAACATCTGTGCGAGAGCCACTAGAAAAAGCCTTGAAAACATGACAGGTAAACTCTAACAAGTTGGTGACTGTAGATCGCCCTTTCCGAAAGCCGTGCTGGTGCGGAGAAATATACGAATTAATGGCAAAGGCCAAATGCTGAGTCACAATACGCTCGAACAACTTGGGCAAGACATTCAACTTGGCTATGCCTCTGTAGTTCTCAACAAATTGTCTACTTCCACTCTTGTGGATAGGAATAAGGAAACTACTCTTCCAACATGCAGGGAAAACACCTGAATACAAGGACATGTTAAAAATCTTTGAGATCACACCACACAACTCGACAGCGCAAGATTTAAGTACACATGATGGAATTCCATCAGGTCCAGGCGAACAACTGTATTTTAGAGAACTCAACCATTTGAAAACATCATCTTCCGAAATAATCAAGTTAGGTATTAAAACCGAGTTAGTTATAGGATATGGGTAGTTTGCTGATAAATCGAAATTAGCAATCGAAAAGTTTCGTCGGAAATACTCAGCAAATAGATTTGAGATTTCAAAATCATCCGAGGAACCAGAGCCATTAAAAGAAACATGAGAGGGATATGTGGAAATTTTTCTTTTAGAGTTAACAAATTTAAAGAAGAATTTAGGATTATCACACAAAGAGGATTTAATGAACTGAAGGTATCTGCAGTAATAATGATGGTTGAGGGAGTTAAGCCTATGCCTCGCTACCGAGTAAGCGAAATAGTCGAGCGCAGAGCCACTTTTTAAATATTTTTTGAATAGCGAGTTTTTTCTATTCTCGTAATATTTAATTGTCTTATTAAACCACGGGGGACACCTGCTTCGAGGTCGGCACGGCTTGATCGGAACGGATGCAGCAATAGCTAGATTTAATTTATTGTAGCACGATGACAATAAGCTTTCAATAGTTCCGGTTGAGAAATCAAGCGTCAGATGTGAAAGACGATGTTTTAGTAATACAATATTGATTTTATGAAAATCATAACAATTATTTAAAAAAGTTTGATTTGGCACATTAAGGCATTTCAACAAACCATCATTAATATGATGAAAGGAAATGCATATTGATGGATGATAAGGATCCTCAGGTAAACTAAAAGGTGGACAACGATTTACGTAAATCTCGGGAAAATTGGCAAAGCAGAGATCAAGCAGTCTACCATTACAATTAGGGGTACGATTATATTGACCCAAATTATGATCAAACAATTATGGCGAATAAAAGTGGCAACATTCGGACAGACAAATAGGATACGATCAGGAGATTGTAAGAGCCCACATGTACATAAAAAGCTATTCCTTATATTAATTTTAAATGATTTTTACATCTCGTTCGATTAAACATTAGCCTGTTAATAAGGCAGATATTGTCACCTTTGAGTCGGCAATTGATAAACCAAGGAGCTTTATTTGTGGAAATAAAGAGTATAAGAGACGACCATAAGGTGAATTATTTCATCGTTGTTGAGTGTTTCTTGTGGATTGCCATCAAATCTGCAGAAATCAGAGCACGATCATTAAAATGGTCTGGAAGATGCAATTTTATCTGCCGGAGTAGCCATGCGATTGAGCACCCAGAGAAAGTGAAAATAAAATGCATCAGATTTGAGCCTATATAGTATAGACCCGGTTTCCAGTACATAAAGATGAGTTTTACTTGAGTGAGATGATTGCAAAGCGGATAATGCTTTCAATGGCTATGAGTCCCTTGATGATAGTGAAACCTCGAATCTCTTTGCTGAATACTTCCGACAACATTTTTCAACTGCTAATTCTGATTCAACTTTCAACTATCCCTAATCTAGATCAGCTTTGATTCCTAACTTTTTCATTTCAGAAATTTATGTTTTAGATGGTTTAAGGTTTCTAAAATATAGTTCTGCACCTGAACCTGATTGGATTCCATCATGTATACTTAAAACATCTTCTGTCTGAACTATGTGGTGTTATTTCAATAATTTGTAGGCACTCCTTGAAATCAGGTGCTCCCCCCTTGTGTTGGAAAAGTAGTTTTTTTGTTCCAATTCAGAAATGTGGAAATAGACATCACATAAAGAACTACAGAACTATAGCTAAGTTGAGTGTCTTACCTAAATCGTTTGAGCGAATTGGTACTCTGCACCTAAATTTTGCTATTAAATCTTATATTTCTCCATTCCCGCATGGCTTTTCGAAAGGAAGATTTGCTGTCACGAATCTCTTAGGATTTAAATGCCATGTTCGCAAGGCTTTTTCTAGTGCTTCTCGCATCGGACTCTTTAAAGTCTATTAAAATAAGTATGCTTAACACGCTCGATTTGTTTATGTCTTATTTAAAATAACTTGCAATCCTAACATTTCCCTATGATTCGAAAATTAACTTGTTTTGTTTAGTGTTATTATTTGCCAAGCTTTTGCATGTTTGGCAATAGCTTGGGGGATAATTTCTAACTTGGACCTGCACTGGTTGCGGGCGTGCCTCTGTGCTAG